AGAAGAGAAGAGAAGAGAAGAGAAGAGAAGAGAAGAGAAGAGAAGAGAAGAGAAGAGAAGAGAAGAGAAGAGAAGAGAAGAGAAGAGAAAAGAGAAGACATAGCAAAGGCTGTGTCCCTAATCTTTAGAGCAGTCAGTCCTCATTAATAGGTATCTCACTCATGAGGGTTAATCTTCAGATCCAGAAGGCCCACAGAAGCAAACTTCTGGGCATGTTCATGAGGGAGTTTCTAGGCTGAGTTAACTAAAGTAAGAAGACCCATCCCCAAAATGGGTAGCACTGTTCTATAGGCTGGACCCTGGGCTAAAAAAAGGAGAATGCCACCTGGGCCCCAGCATCCCCCCCCCCCAACTGAAGATGTAACGTGAAAAGATAAAATCCCAGCACGGAGGAAGTAAGGTGGGCACAAAAGCCCACCACTAGCCAAGGAGCTACTGCCAGGGTAGCTGCTGGAGAGGAAGACTCTGTTTTCTTTATTTGGTCGCCCCTGGTAGGTCAACCACACAGCAAGGCTCGCCCCACTCCCAAAACTAGCCGAGCAACACAAACTGGACTCCATAGGGGAAAAAAAATCTCCAAGTTGGGTGGAAGTGATGGGAAAGTAGAGTGGGTCGCCATGGGAACAGGTGGAGAAGGGAGGACGAATGTGTTCCAAAAAGTGGTAGGAAATTCTCAAAGAATTAATAAAAATATCATTAAAAAATTGCCAGTCTGAAGCTTAGCTCCTACAACCAACAGCATTTAGAATACATAGAGGAAGGTAAACAAATAATACATTTACACACACACACACACACACACACACACACACACACACACACACAAGGGGCACATATCCAAAACGACTGAGAACATTTTTGTGCCAAGAATTGTGTGAGGCATTTAACATGAGTCGTCTCATTTATTTCTCAGGTAGAGAAGAGTACTTCCTCCTGCTTTAGAGGTGAGGAGCTTGAGTTCTGAAAGTCTAAGCAACAGCTGTAGAAGAATGTGGTAGGGTCCTGTGAGAAGAACAGGGAAAGTGTGAGTGAGAAGACAAATGACTGTCAGTGTGTAATAAAACCCAAGGACTGACAGCTTGGCTCCTCTCCAGTGCTGTTAACACTGCCAACAAAAGAGCCCCTATTTTTCACTCCTTCTTCGAGAAGGAAGTGAGCAGAGGAAATAGTTACCCCTACAACGAAGTCAGATTCCTGGTAAAAGGTGGGAGTGATTTTAGAACCACACATGAACAAAGAACCAACAAGACCCAGACTAACAGTGTAAGGTCAGGTCCCTGTTAGTATAAGAGAGAAAGAATGTCCTAGAATCATCTTCCATCAAAGGAAATAAGAGGCAGTGTGAAACACTGCAGAAGAAAGCTAATTGAGTTCACTGAGACAACTTGAAAATATTGCTCCTGGAAGGAGCATGTTTACCCAGTGAGTCAGAACCGAGTGGACATTCAGGGTGGATGTGGTGCCCGCTGGTGCAGAGCAACGGGCTCTGACTGGGGGGGATTAGCTGCGGCTTGGGTGGTGGGGAAGAAGGACTCTTGTTTCATTAGTCGTTTCCTGGATCCTCCAGGCAGCGGACCACTGGGAAGTGGTATCTGGCCACAAAAGAGTTTCCATACCACTTGCCTCCCTTTACACAGAAGGTTAAGAAAAAACGCTATTCTGCAGCCTGTCCACGGCAAGAGCATCACAATTCCATTTCTGTTACTCCAGGTGCAGTGCCGCCTGCCAAAACTTCCAAACTGGGGGGAACTGACTAACCTCTACTGCTGCAAAGAATATACTTTGGGTAATTAAAAGGTTATATCAGATACTGTTTGAAGATTAGCAATGCAGACGCTTTTCATTTTATCTCAATAAACTCATCATAAATTTAAAATATTAAGTTGAAAAGGTATTTATATTTATATTCCCAACCCGTCAGACACCATCACTTAGCAACGGCACACTACAGTATTTAAGTCCCCCTCAGCTGGAATGGCTGCCTGGGAGGAACGGCTCACTGCTACTGCCCGGGGTCAGAGTACCACAGCTCTTCCTGCCAGCCCAGGAAAAGACCAAAATTCAAAGTGTTGTTTCTACTGAAAGTGTACCACTTTCATACCACTGTTTTAAACTGAAAATTTTTAAATGAAATCATCATAGAGTTAAGGACTGTCTAGATACTTGAAAGTGCTCATGGTTATTATCTCAGTATATCTTCAAAACAACTCTATAAAGTGGGCAGAATTCTATTTCTGTATTTTAAAAACGTTTCTTCTTTGTAAATTTCACACATTCATATTTCGTATTTTGATAATATCTGTCCACTATTACCTCCCTCCAATTCTCCCTAGCACCCCCACCTCAGTCCCCTAACTTTATGCCCTTTTTTTGTTTTGTTTTTGGACAGACTTGCTTTGGTTGGGTCCTTTAAGACAGGCTCTCACTCCATCGTCTGGACTAGCCTTGAACTTATAGCAATACTCCTGCCTCGGTCTCCCAGTTACTGACTACAAGCATGAATCCCCTCCCTCACCTTAAAGGTAGACTGCTTTATTCTAAGGAAAAAATATAGACATGTTAATGAATTCAGTGAGTCTGCACAGGAACTAATGAAACGTGGAACACAGCCACACCTGACGAAGGTGTCCCCTTGGTGACCACCCACTCCCATACCACATTGCTGGACACCCAGGCCAGCCCCCATTAGAGCTACAGATATAGCTCACTCTGTAATATTGTACATCCAAGACGTCAAAAAGCTCAGGTCTCTGGAAAGAGGAGAGAGGGAGGTATCACCTCGATTTCAGATCCAGCTTTCCCTCTCCACAATAAACAAGTAACTGTCCGTTAGCGCTAGAGATTAATGAGGCTCAGGTTTCTATGCAAAGAAGTGCATTAATACGTAGTGTCTAAGCTTTAATAAACTCAGCCGGGTCTTAATAATTCTCTGGAGCATGGAAAAGTCCAGATGGGTAGGATGTAGCTGACAGGGTTACTACTCATTAAAATGGCATTTACTGAGACAGGATCTGGAACTAAGGAGACTGTGAAAGATCTAATCTAAGCAAGTTAGGTTGTGAAATTTAAGTGTTTCAGATTTCTCATATTTAAAGTGAAAAAGACAAAATATCTAGTTCCAGCAGCTACAGTCATAACATCTATATCTCCTTATCCAGCTGTCTATTGCATAAAATAATCATGCCTGCCACAATCTATCCAGGCAGTTTCTGTAGACCTATTAGCAGCTAATAATTCTAAGCTGTGCCACTCTTATTTTGCTTAGTGGAATATGTGTATACAAATACATATACATATGTGCACATGCACATTCATATATGTGTGTGTGTGTGTGTGTGTGTTTGTGTGTGTGTGTAATATTCAACTGCCTCAATTAGAAAATGCTTAAGATTATTAAAGTCAATAACTACCTTTTCCTGTCACAAACATCACCACAATAAATAACTGTAATTTACCAGTAATTAAATAGCAATAATCATAACCAAATACGTTATATTTATGGAATGATTCCTATCACCAGACAGCATTGTAACAGCTTTCCTGGCCTCTCAGACTTGCATATGAATCCTATGAAGAGGACATCAGTGACATATATCAGGAAGCAGGCAGAGTTCAGCAGCTGGCCCACAAGCGTCATAGCCACACACTGTCCCACCTCTAACATGCATGGAACAGCACATGTGAGAGGGAGTGCAGTCCCTAGTTTCTCCACACTACTCTTCTGGCCGCCAGGCTCACCCAGAGCTAGAGACCCCTTGTTTACACGTGAAAACACCTAAACTCTAGCACCAGCACTTTTCTGCCAAGACCACCCTAAGTTCCTCCTCTGCTTTCAGGACATCTACGGAGGACAGGACAGGCCAGAACACCCATCCAAACCTGGACTGGGAACTAATTAAAGCGGGGACTTTGGAGCCCCACAGCTGCTATCTACAGAGAAGAGCGTGAACTCCAGGATAAACATGACCTCGATCCCATGGGCTCTATGACCAGAAAAGACATCCGAGGATCCAGGCAGAAAAAGATCACATGCAACCCTAAAAAGGCCGGGCGGTGGTGGCACATGCCTTTAATCCCAGCACTCGGGAGGCAGAGGCAGGTGGATCTCTGTGAGTTCAAGGCCAGCCTGGGCTACAGAGTGAGTTCCAGGAAAGGCACAAAGCTATACAGAGAAACCCTGTCTCAAACAAACAAACAAACAAACAAAAAACAAAAACAAAAACAAAAAGAAACCCTAAAAAGGGAGTGTGCCTAGGGCAGGAACCTCTGTGTCCACTACTAGAGCAGTATTGGATATCCTGAGTCTCAGAAGAACACAGCAACAATCCACTCAGCTGACTTGACCGTTCAACAAACCGACTCAGCCATCTGCTGACTTAACACTGGGGAGCACTGCTCTCCATGCCCACTGGAGTAAGGTCAGAATTTGAGTACTTCAAAAACCGTATGTTAAGTCATCATCATGACAAATCAATAGCATATAAACACTATTATACATTCCACTAGGAAAATAACCCTCATAGCCACATCTGGGCATTCGATAGGACCCCAAGTCTACACACAAGCCAACCCTTCAGACCTTGAGTCTTGCTTCTCAGGTCTCCTCTGAAAACTATGTGAAATAACCTCTTCAGTACCTTCAAACCCCCAAGCCATTAATCACAAAGACAGATTGTATTTTGAGCTCATTCCCAAGTAAGGCTTAAATAAGAAACAGAGACCGGGGCCCACCTGGTTCCTGTACAGCAAAATACCCCCAAACACAGCCCTATATTTCATTGCCAGGGGGAAAATATACATTCATTAAGATAACATTTCAAATCACCTCCTCCCCGACTATAACGGGGTAGTGTTCTCCTGAGGAAAATGCTGCAAGCCACTCACCCACTGTGAGGAGTGCTTCTGACTGGGTGGTTCCATGCTTGTTTGTGGCTTCACAGGTATATTTCCCAGCATGCTCCTGAGTAACTGCCTGGATAGACAGAGAGCTGGAGCCAGCTCTGGACATGATGAAGTAGACAGGCTCCAGGTCCAGGTCCCCAGGTCGGAGCAGGTGGGACTTTCGGGATTTGGACCTAAGGACCTGAGATGGATGGCTGGTTATCAATCCATGGCGGCCATACCAATGAATGACTGGGACAGGCACTCCGGTGGCATTGCAAGACAAGGTCACAAAGTCTCCGTCCATCACCTCTACATTTGCTGGTGCTGTGACTATCACAGGCTTCAGTCTACTGTCTATGAGAAACACAATTCACAGAGTCAAAACCAGGGACATGAGAACATCTGCCCTGCGAAGTCATTTCATCCGACTGCAGAAATGATGCTGCAGAGATATCCCCTCTGATCAGCTCCCTTCTCAACTTCCACCACGTAAAATGGACAACGAAAAGTAGAATGTTTCAGAGCCAGCAGAGGCACTTGCCACCAAGCCTGACAACCTGAGTTCGATCCCTGGAACCCATGGTAGGAAGAGAACTAACTTACACAAGTTGTCCTCTGACCTCCACACACGTATACCCACACACACACAACTACACACACACACACACACACACACACACACACCACACACACACACAAACACACAAACACACACACACACACACACACACACACACACACACATCAACTTAATTGTGGGGCTCAAAGGAAGCCCCAAGTAAATGTGTAAGGGTAGGATGGAATCCTGAGTGACAAGAACCTCAATGCCTCAAACCCATAGGCACTGGCAAAGCCTTCCCAGATGAGGGTCAGGCTCAGGGAACTGGCAAAGCCTTCCTCTGGTTGACAGTGTATTTAAAAAACAAACAACTGAAGCTTTGTCCTCCTGTATGACTGCAACCTGAGACAGCTCCCCACAAATCCCCCTACTGAGACCAGCTAACCCCTCCTCCTGTGCTATAGAAATAAAAGCACTGAGTTTCTAGGTTATTGCATTTTAAGGGTCCTCTATCAGAGCGAACACAGCTCATCCAATGCTAGCTTTTCTGTCTGTCTGTCTGTCTGCCCTTCCTTTATTCCCTCATCACCCATCACCTTTCCAGTACCATGCCATGCAGGATGTTGCGTGTGATTTTTTTTTCGGGGGGGCGCAGTTTTGAGACAGATTTCTCTGCAAAGCCCTGGCTGTCCTGGAACTTGCTCTGTAGACAAGGTTGGCCTCAAACTTAAGGATCCACCTGTCTCTACCTTCTGAATGCTGGGATTAAAGGAATGAGCCATCACACCAGGTTTGCAGTATATAATTTTTAAAAAGTATAATTTTTCATGATTGTAGGTTCCTCAAATTCCCTATACAGGTTCTCTGTTCCTCCTGAAAGGAGTATACATAAACAAATCTACTAAGATTTCAGTAGGTATCCTGTGCCTACTTGAGTGCAGTAAATACAGACTAAGTGAAGCCAGAACCTGACCCTAACATGAAAAAGGTAAAGAAGTATAAAACTAGATACTATTCCTTTAAGAAAGTGGACAGTTCTGGTGAAATCTGATTAGAGAAAACCGATTTTAAGTTCATCCACATGAACACCATTTTTATTTCCAAATCAAAATGGTACCAAGTCTTCTCTTCTAGTTCTGGTATTTCCTGAAGGGATTTTTAAGGGAGGCCACAATAAGATATATTGATCAACACAGAAGACATTATTTTCAGCGTGTTTCTTTTTCTCTAGACCTATTTATCATGTCTGATAAAACTAAAGACACTCAGTCTTCACAGATTTCTGAATTTTTGCCAAGTGAATGAGTATAAACGCTCTAACTAGCCGTAACATGCATGTCCCTGAGGACTGATGAAGCTGAACATCTCCTGGCAGGTTTATGTGCCATTCATAAATGCTTTACATGACTTGCTAAAACATTTGACTCATAGATCATACAAATACCCTCCAACATATTCCTCAAAAACTTTCCCTGGTAAATTTATCTTTATGTACCATGTGAGTTAGAGATTCAATTTTTGCTCTCTTTTTTTTTTTCATTTTGATAATTAATTATCTCAAGTCAAAACTTGAAACAAATATCCTCCCTGTGGGATGTACAGTACCAGTTCAGTCAGGTCCTTCCATGTAAATATATTTTTGTCATCCTCTGTCATATCCAGGAGTCTATTTGTTTCTGTAGCGATACAATGCTTTTGAAAATATTACTAGCTTTTTATGATTATAGCCAGTGCCTCATGTTTTTAGAGTACTCTAGTTACTCCTGGGCCTCTGATTATATGTTTTATAATCATTTTCTCAAGGGTGTGAGCGCATGCGCGCGCGTGCGCGCGCGCGCGCGCGCGCACACACACACACACACACACACTCTAATGTAATCCAGGCTGAACTCAAATTCCTTATGTAGTCAAGGATGACCCTGAATTCCTGATCCCCCTGCCTCTACCTTCCACGTACTAGTGTTATAGGCAGATGCCATTAAAGCCTAGCTAAAGTCTTCAAAATATTCTGATAAGATCTCAACTGCAATAGCATAAAAAAGTTTGAAGACCAGGTAACTGCATAATTCCAAATTTTGCTACCCATGACCTAAAATGTCATTGTGTGTAACTTTGTTACTAATATAAAAAGTGATTTTTAAATAGTATTTTCTGTTTGTTGCTGGTATACAGAAAGGCAAATGAGTTGTGCTCATTTAGGTCTATACCTACCTTCTTGTTAAATATTAGTATTTTATTAAGAAAACAATAATAAGAGCTAGCAAGCACTTTGGATAGCATACAATGGCAATATTGGTTATAAATTAATAACTATTTGGATTATTTCCTTCTAATTTCTTTTGTATCTTTCTGTACTGGCTGGATTCTCTCATACATGGATACCTAGAGTGAGTTTTAAGGAGAGTACCTTTGCCATTTTCCTAGTAAGAGATGTTTCATCTAAGTCCTTGTTAGATGCCTTTTATCAAGTTCTAGTTCCTTTTTTTCTGACTGTCTAGCACAGTTTTGTCTAGTTTTTCCTACTCCTTATGAAATAATCACGGTTTTTCTCCTTTGTACAGTAAACAGGGTGAACAATACATTTTATGGCAGACTTCTAAGAAAGCTGCCTCACCAAGATAAATGTTTTTTGTACATTCCTGGCTGGCTGATGTTTTGTTATGATTCTTATACCTCTATGTTCACAAATAAGACCTGCTTTTAGCTCACTTTCTTATCCCATCTTTCTGTGATTTGGGACTCAAGAGTATACTGACTGGAGACTTTGCATTTCCCCTTTTTTCTGGGAGAGTTGTGTAATATCTGGAAAGGTCTATTACTTGCAAATTTGGTAGACTCTACAAAACCATCTGGTCTGTTGTTTTCTTTGTGGGAAAAATTTAACTCCTAATTCAATTTCTGTCATAGCTCGAGAACTACTCAGGCTTTTTATTTACTTTAAGTCAGAGCCTTGCTACGTTCTATTTTCCCTTAAAATTTACCCATCTTATAGTTTGAATTTGGAGTTCCTTCACAAAAGCCCATGAGTTGAAAGCTTAGTCACCAGCCTGCCATGCTCCTGAGTGACAGTGAAATCTGAACAAGATGGGTCCTAGTTGAAAAGAAGTTAGGTTGCTGGGGAGTGTCCTTTGAGGGAAGTCTGGGAACCTGCCCCCTTTCTGTCTCTCTGCTTCCGGGCCATGAGGTAAGCAGGTCTAGCACTTCCTCTAGCCATGACTGTGCTGTCTGCCGGAAGCCCAAAGCAACAGGCCCAAGTGACCATGTCTGCAGCTATGAGCTAAAATAGAGCCGCCTTGTCTTTAAATTGATCACCTCAAGTATTCTGTCACAGTGGTAGGAGGTTAACACCACAGCTCTGTTTATATTTTTAATTTACTGTCTTATCAATTACTTTATTACTTTTAATCTCTATAGTGAGATTTACAACTTCCTCCTCCCCCTTACAACTGTCCACTTATATCTACTTTTTTACTTAATCAATTTTGCAAATGATTGGTTCACTTTATTAGACTTTACAAAGGACCCATTTCTATGCTTATTAATCTTGTGCTTTACCGTTCTTAAATGCTGTCTGCTCTGGGCTTTGTTTCTCTCATCTTCTGCTTTCTTTGAACCTACTCTAATGTTTCTCTGATTTACTCCATAATTTTCAACCCTACTGGTTTTCTTTGGTAAGCACACGAGGCTATAAAAGTCCGAAATTCCATGTTGGCCATCTTCCCACAGGACATGATGGATTGTGCGGGCTAGTCTTATGTCAACTTGACACAAGCTGGAGTTAGCTGAAAGGAGGGAACCTCAATTGAGAAAATGCCTCCAAAATATCCAGCTGTAAGGGATTTTCTTAATTAGTGATTGGTGGGGAGGGCCCAGCTCATTGGGGATGGTGACATTCCTGGGCTGGTGGTCCTGGGTTCTATAAAAGGGTGGCCTGAGCAAGCCATAGGAAGCAAGCCAGTAAGCAGCATCCTTCCATGGCCTCTGCATCAGCTCCTATGCCCAGGATCCTGCCCTGCTTGAGTTCCTGCCATCACTGCTTTTGATGAACTGTTATATGGAACTGTGAGTGAAATAAACCCTTTCCTCCCCAACTAGCTTTTGGTCATTGTGTTTTAATGCAACAATTATATGTAACCCTAACTAAGACACTGTGTTCCAGTGCAACAATCATAACCCTAAGACATTGATCTTTGGCATTTTTATGGCCATTCAGCTCAAAGTATTTTAAACTTCCACTATGATTTCAAAGTATAACTTAATGTTTCCAAATGTATGACAATTTTCTTTAAAATGTGTGTTTTTATTATTAACTTTTAAATTTGTCATGCCACGGTGAATGAGGTGTTCTGTTTCACACTGATGCTCTGAACACTGAAATGTTTATAACTCACATCATAAACAATTTCCCTCTTATAAATCAATAAGAAAAATACCCTAAACTTAAATTTTTAAATAGGCAAAAGATGGCCAACATATAAAGAAGTAAACCTAAATGTCTCACATGCATATGAAAAGATACCTAACTTCACCCACAACAAAAGTAATACAAACTGAAAACTACGTATTTTTATATATGTGGGTTGGGGAGACGGCCTAGTTGGTAAAATGCTTGCCACACAAGCATGACTTTGGATTCCCAGCACCCACATAAAAGCTGGGTATGGAAGTACGTATTTAGTATCTGCAAGCCTGGTGCAGGAAATGGGCAGAGAGGCAGATCCAATGGTCACTGGCCAGCCAGCTTAGCCCAGTCAATGAGTTTCAGGTTCAAAACATAAAAGAATTCAGGAAGATACCCAATTTCAATCTCTGGACTCCATGAGCCCATGTGTGCACACACACATGTACACACAAACACATACACACACACACACACACACACACACACACACACACACACACACACATTGACCTTACTACTCTGTCTTGGTGAGAATGTGAGGAAATAGGAAATCTAAATGCTCATGAACATATGAATTCATAATTATGAGGATAAATTTGATAATAAATATTAAAATTTCCAATACATATATAGCTTTTTTCTGCAAGTCCACTTCTAGGAATTTCTTTTAGAGATACACATATGCAGTTATTCAATTATTTTGAGACATTCATCACATCTCAAACAGCTACCATCAGATTCCACTCAAATTATTGCAACTATAAAAATGCAACAGTAAGCAGCCATTTTTCTTAAAGAATAAAAATATGCTTTGGTGTACCATATGAGAATAAATTCAAACTATAGGTTATATAAAAAATTTTAAAGGAAAGAATTCTGTCACCATTTGTTTTTAAAAAGGAATAAAAATACATGTATACACATGTATACACACCTATGGTGTATAACTGCTTGCATATGCACATGGAAGGTTATTCAAGAACTAATAAAACCAGTTGGTTCAAAAGACAAGACTTGGCTGACAGATGCTGGTATGGATGGGGAGGGCAAGAGAGACTGTGGGTTTTAACATATACCTTTATAAACTATGTAGCAACTATTGAAAATGAATGTTTCCCAACAGTCTGTTACTTAGGCCCTATGGAAACCCAGGAAATCACATATGCTATTCCACTTGAGCTAAATCTCCATCCTAGAAACAACTTTTTTTTGTTGTTTTGTTTTGTTTTGTTTTGTTTTGTTTTGTTTTGTTTTGTTTTGTTTTGTTTTGTTTTGTTTTGTTTTGTTTTGTTGAGACAGGGTTTCTCTGTGTAGCCCTGGCTGTCCTGAAACTTACTCTGTAGACCAGGCTGTCCTTGAACTCACCTGCCTCTGCCTCCCTAGTGCTGGGATTAAAGGCATGCACCACCACCACCACCACCACCACCACCACCACCACCACCACCACCAGGCAGAAACAACTTTTTTTTTAATGTTTTTGGGTGTTATGTCTACATGCATGTCTGTGTACCACTTGTGTGCCTGAGGCCCACACAGCCCAGAAAAGGGCATTGGATCCCCGAGCCTGGAATGGTTATCACAGCTCATAACCATTTGTAACTGAGAATTGAGTCTGGGTCCTCTGGAAGATCAGCCAGTGCTGTTAACCACTAAGCTATCTCTCTGTCCCAAAACATTTTTTTAAATGAGCTTGATTAAATAAAGTGGCTTAATCATAGCAATGCCAGTCTGTCACTACAAAGATCATGGGAAACACAGTTCTTATATGGTGATAGGATTATTTTCTTTCAATAAACATGACTTCATTTCTAATTACTGAAAAAGCCTACCTATGAAGTAAAATTTCTTGTGATTACATAACCTAAAAGCACACCTTGTTCAATTTGAAGTCTTCCAGTAGATTGCATAAATCCAATGCCATTGTCTGCGACACACTGATAGAGCCCAGCGTCTTCCATGGTAACCCCAGTGATCTTCAGTCCATTTCCTTCCGTTAGATGCCGTGAGGAGGGGTGAATAGGCTGTGCATTATGAAACCAGGTGCGGTTGGGGGCTGGGTTCCCGTGAACGTCACAGGTAAAATGTACGGTGGCCCCCAGAGACACTTTCTGATCTTGTAGCCCTTTAGAAATTGAAGCATGCTCTGAAAAGAAAGCAGGCACATTTAACTATCTCACAAGTCAGGGAGAACCTGTTTCTAGCACTGAGTAGTGAATCTCTCTGTGTTCTTTCTTACATCCATTCTTCCATCTGTGTGCTCATCAAGAAACACTGAGAAATATAATTAACTTTCACCAGCAGAAATAAATGTGCAGCTACTAAGTTAGAGTCTTTTCTTTTTATATTGATCCACCCATTTTATACTCCAACACCTATGAATACACATACACACACACACACACACACACACACACACACACACACACACACCACACACACGTACATATTTCTACCCTGTTCTTCTTTTAACATTCAACATTAAGTAATAGTTTCTCTGGATTATTGTAAACAGGAGACAAAAAGGTTTTATTCAAAATGAGAATCTTATATGCATCAAATACTCTGTTTGTTTTAAATTCTGTTTACAGGCCTGTTGTGGCCACTAAAGAACAGTAGCCATGGCTCTAGGTTAGCCTCTGGCTGTGAGCCTCAAAAAGAGCCAGAAGGTGATGAAGAACATCAGCAAGCTGAACCATAGCTGGTGCATCAGGGACCTCACCAAACACAACCATTTTGTAGCCCACATTATCCAGGATGTGTGTGACATCCTATTAGCTGCCTGGCCATGAACTTGTCCAAGGTCCACAAGCCAAGGCTTTCAAGTTCATTCAAAGGAGGGTAGAGGTGCATATCCACATAAAGAGGAAACACTGGGGGCTGGAGAGATGGCTCAGAGGTTAAGAGCACTAGTTGCTCTTCTAGAGGTCCTGAATTCAATTCCCAGCAACCACATGGTGGCTCACAACCACCTGTAATGAGATCTGGCGCCCTCTTCTGGCCTGCAGGAATACACGCTGTTATATAAATAAATCTTAAAAAAGAAAGAGAGAAAACACTAAGCAAGGACTGAACCCATCCTGCCTAAATCCATAAATAAACCAATTCTGTTTACAGACAACTTTGAGGCTATGTGTGTGACAGGCAAAACACTCTAGTTTCCACAAAGCTTTGTTTTGAGACAGTGTCCCTCTCTGTCCTGGCACTTGCTATGGAGACTAGGCTGGTTTCACAAAGATCTGCCTGTCACTGGCTCCACAGCTAGATTAAAGGTGTGTGCCAGCATGCCTGGCTTAAGAAGTGGCTTCTTACTCTTGAAAGTACCTCATTTACCAACACTTTCAGTATCTGGCAAAAATAAGTGGTTATACATATTAATCCAGTTCTGGGTATCACTGGGTTTGGAGTTGGGGGAATTTTTTTGTTTGGTAGGTTTTTACTGGTGCTGATAATCAAACCCAGAGCCATGCATATCTTAGGTTATTCTTCTTTTTTTTTTTTTTTTTTTTTTTTGGTTTTTCAAGACAAGCTTTCGCTGTGTAGCTTTGCACCTTTCCTGGAACTCATTCTTGTAGCCCAGGCTGGCCTCGAACTCACAGAGATCCGCCTGGCTCTGCCTCCCAAGTGCTGGGATTAAAGGCATGCACCACCACCACCTGGCAGGTTACTGTTAACACTGAACTATACACCCGGGCCCACCAATGATTTTTAGAGCTCACTTGTCATTCACTTACATTAATCCCAGCATCACTAACCTACATCAGGCTATGAGTATAAATCAAATGTATAAAAATTTTACAAAAGTCTTATTTAATGAGACCATTTTCTATTCTTTCTAGTTTTCACAAAAATCTGTTTTGACAAAGGAAAACATTTTTCCAGTGCTACAGGATAACAATACCAGCTCCTGACTGAAATAAAGACTATCTATAGAAATGTAGGTGGATTGTGTCAGCCAAACACAACAAAAAGGCAAAAAGTGAACAGCTCGATGTCTTTGTGAGATGATATCTCTAGTCAGTTCCATCGTAGTTACTGCTGAAGGACCACACGCTCACACGTGCATACAGGCACACATGAGTGCACGCACACACACACCAATCTCTCTCCGCTTGGCATGTAGCAGGGATAAGGCCCCGAGAATACATTATATCGAATGTTCTATGCCACCCAGAGATGCATCCCATTCTTCATCTCTTTACAGAAATGAACCCTGTTCTGGCTATCGGTGTGGTTATTTCTCGACATTCTGTGTCTCATTTTTAGCTCACAGATATCCTTCAAACAATTAGTCCAGGAAAATGACCTGATTTGAAATGAAATCTTTATATTGAATAAGTAAGACCTTACCCAAAACATTAACCATGTAAGTGACATGTTTTACATCTCCAGACTTGTTGCCCACCACACAGGAATAGTTTCCAGAGTCTGCTGGGTCAATGCTAGATGTGGCCAGATGAGAGTACAGCCTTCTCCAGTTGCTTCCTGACACAGCATCCTGCCCGTCCTTCAGCCAATACACTTGTGAGGCCGGGACCCCACTAACCACACACTCCAAGGTAACGGGGCTGTGAGGAAGGACAGCTAACGCCTGAGAGAGAGCAGGGTGAAGAATGTGGAAGCCATCTGAGGAAGGGCCTGAAAAAGGAAGGGAACACAAAACAGTATTAGAAAGGACTATTAGAAATCCATCCTCTCCCTTAGCTGATCTGGGAACACCTGGGGACCTGCTTCCATTTCTGCCTCATGTGGCAAGGCCCTATGCATAGCAAAACCATTTTTCTCTGAGAGTCAAAAGACAAATATTTTGTGATTTTTTTTTTTTTGAGATTTTTTTCTGAATTGGCATTTTGGAAATGTAGAATTTCGAGCCTAAAGCCACACCTTTACTATGTTCTGCCTCAGCTTATCAGTCATAAACCAAAATCAGTCATGATTTGTATCATATCTGATAGAATCACTTGATCACATCACTGTTGTAAAATTGATACATTTAAAAAATATGTTCATTGGGGCTAGAGAGACGGCTCAGCAGCTAAGAGCACCTGTTACTTTTGCAGAAGATCCAGTTTCGGTTCTCAACACCCACATGGCAGCCCACAACCATCCATAAATACAGTGCCAGGGGATCTGATATAGTCCTCGGGCACTAGGCACATACGGTACATATACATATATGCAGGCAAAACTCCCATATACATAAAATAAATAAATCTTTAAAAAGTAAAATAAAAACAAGTACAGTACTACTCTATAACACACTGATGCACGGGGAGGAGCCTTGGTGGTTAAGGGCTCTGGCTGCTTTCCCAGGGGTCTCAAGTTCTATTCCTAGCACTCACATTAAGGCTTACAACCATCTGTAACCCTTTTTCCAGATGCCCTCTTCTGGCCTCTGAGGACACCAGTGTGCATATGGTGCACAGATGTACATGCAGGCAAACACAATAATAATAATAATAATAATAATAATAATAATAATAATAATAATAATAATAATAAAGACAGGAATGAAAAGCATGCTGACCTCTCCTTTACCAAGGCTTCATGAGCCATACTTGTGAGGACCCTTCCTTCCCTAGCCACCGTCATTCTCCCAAATACTTACGACTCACAAGGAGCTTCCGGCCAGTGGGTTCAACTTTCAGTTCGCTGGTGACAGGGTTATAAGCAGCACATTTGTATGACCCTTTATCCTTCGAGGAGACATTCAAAATCTGAAGATTTCCTGAAGGAAGGATTATGTAGTTTCCTGGGGAAGGCAGAGGGGTGTAATCAGGGGCTGGAGATGCAGCTCAGTTGGTAGAATCCTTGCCTAGCACGAAGCCCTGTGGCTCAGCCCCAGCATCCACCACATAAAATCAGGCCTAGTGGCACATGTCTGTAATCCCAGCAGGAGGGAGGGAGAGGAAGGAGGGCCAGAAGGCCAAGGCCATCCTCGCCCACAGAGTTCCAGGCTGTGCAGACCCCCACCACCCAAATGGAACTAGCAGAGACCGCGGAGATTTACACAAAAGACCAGCAGCAAAGAAGCTTTATTGCCCAAGAGAAAGGAAAGCCCAGCCCAACAGTGCTCACACGGCAAAACCCTCAGCAGATGGTCAGAGCGAAACACAAGAACATCATCTGGACCAAGATGAAATGAGCACACATCCTTCTGGACACGTCTTGACCTGCAGCCACTGCGGTGTTTAGTCATTGGCTGCTCACCACGTTTCTCAATAAATACACATGGAGTAGCTATTCTTCACCAGTCATGGGCTGGCATACACACATGGCACACACAGCCTGGCACACATGGCCTGGCACACACGGCCTGGCACACACAGCCTGGCACACACACATGGCACACACAACATGGCACACACAACATGGCACACATGGCCTGGCACATACAACCTGGCACACATGGCCTGGCACACACGGCCTGGCACACACAACCTGGCACACATGGCCTGGCACACACAGCCTGGCACACATGTGGCACACACGGCCTGGTGATGCAGGAAGCAAAGTCCCTGCATTAATGCACCTAACATTCCAATCGGAAGTATGAGGTGGCAGATAAAGGGTGCCTAACAAACAAAAATCTATACGGCACACTCCAGGTGTGATACGGTCTGCCACAGGAAGGGGAAGAGTGTGACAGATCATCTTACTTATACACGCCCATGCAGACCATCTGCTCTAAGAAGTTTAAATATGGCCTAAGTGGTGAGGAGCGAGCCCTGGGGTCAGCTGTCTAATGAAACCCCTCCCCGCCCTCTGAGAGCACAGGACTCACCCGTGGAGTAGTTCAGCCACTTTCCCCGGATCTTATAGCGCACCTCCGCTTTGGGGTTGCTCTCTGGTACCCTGCAGCCAATGAAACCAGTGCTCTTCTCTTCGGCAGTAATAACATGCATTGTTGATGAATCAAAATCACCAAGGGCTGGAATAAAAAAGTAAACAAATGGGTGCAAAACAATTGAAAGGAAATTAAAACTTAGAATCACACAGAATGGCCTTTTGTGGCAGCGGATCCCAGTCCCAGTGACAGCAGAAATAGCAGCATCTTTTGGGGTTTTTTTGGGGGGTGGGGTGGGACTTTGTTTGTTTGTTTGTTTTGAGACAAGGTTTCTGTGTAGCTCTGTCCTGGAACTGCTTTGTAGACCAGGCTGGCCTCAAATGCAGAGATCAACCTGCCTCTGCTTCCCGAGTCCTGGGACTAAAAGCGTGCACCAACACGCCCAGCCAAGCTTGCTTTTTGACAGGTCTCATTATACAACATTAGACAGCTCAAGCTGGCCTTGAACTCGTGATCCTCCTGCCTCAGCCTCCCAACTGCTAGGATCACAGGTGTGCACCAACACAGCCAGCAACAGGAGTTTTTTAATCTGAAAGAGGCGCTGGGGCAGAGGCGAGCGGTTGAGGGCTGGCAGCTAAGTCAGGGCACACAGTTTCCACACTCACTGCCTCCAGGGAACTGTAAGGAAAACAAGCTGCTCCGAAACACCAAAGAGAACTGCACAGCATAATTACTCCCATTCTGTCGAGATAAGTTCTTCCCCATTCAGAGGGGTCTTCATCAAAACTCACTTTCCCTGCAATAAAACAGCTTCTGGGAATGAACCTAGGACATTATAAAACACAGCATCCCACTGAGCCTAGATGCACCGGCTTGGTACCCATGCCTTTCGGTTTAGACAGTTCACCGTGGACGGAGCAGCCCCTTTATTATCCCCTCCACCCAAGGAAGCCAGCTGCCTGCCTCCAGGAAATCAACCCTCCAGTGTGTGTCCTGGAGCTGTGCATGGGTCAGAGCTCTACAAAAACATTTACTCTTCTCAGTTATGACAAACTCTACTCCAGGGGCATCCAGATTTGTTCTGTAAATAGGGGTGCCCTCACAAAGCCGGTTTCCATTACTGGAAGCCATCGCCATTCGAAAGGCAGATGGCTCAAACTTACTAAGGAAAACCACGCATTCCAGATTTTCCATAAGTTCAATTCTTCACATTCCTTTCTTTACAGCCAGTTTTTTTTTCCCCCTGCTCCTTTAGCCTGGTTTCAATTACATAAATTAAAATCCCCTGGTAATCAAGGGAAATAAAACAATTAGATGTGAAAGAAAGATAAAGGACTGCATGAAATAAAGGAGTGTCAAAAGCCACCTTTTTTTGTCTGTACTGATGTTAAGGACTTTAAAAGATTCACAAGGATATTGCCAGAATTCACGCTAGAAAACTGTCCTGTGCTAATTAAAAATGATAATAATAATAATAATTTTCACACTATTGCTAGAGATTAAGCTATGAGGCTGGGCTACAGAGGTTCCAACATCTTTCCTCAGCTATTTGAAGTCAAGACAAGGTTAAGTACTCTCAGACCCCTGCATGGATCATATCAGTGCCCAACTTTATCCCACTATGAAAATTGCAGGGACAAATAGAAAACCCACAGATTTCAAGAAAACAACAGAAACAAGACTCAAACTGAACTCACCTGCAGCGGACACTGTTGCAGGGCTGCTCACAATGGCACCAATGCTGTTGTTGGCAATGCACTGGTAGCAACCAGAAAGGGAAGGGTTAAGAGACAGGATGGTCAGAGTCCCCCGATGAATCTTAATCTGTTCCGTGTTTCTGTCCAATCGTTTCCCGTTATGCAGCCATGAGATGCGGGCAGTAACGGGTTTAGCAGAACAATGTAGGACCACGGGTCTACCAAGCTTCTGGACAGCAGAGTGTGGCTCAGAAATAAAATAAGGTGCCAAGTCTGCAAGGGAACAGTCCCGTGTGCAAAAGAAGAAAGGAGGAGGAAGGGGGGGAAAAGCAGAGAGAGAAAGTACATTAAATACATTTCATCTGAGTCTATATGGCAGTTTCTTATCTCTATATGTGTTAGTTCTTAATGCTCATAAAATTCATAAGCCCACCTTGGTCTCAAACTCACAGAGATCCTCCTACCTCTGCCTCCCAAGTGATGGGATTAAAGGTGTGCCGCTATGCCAGGCCCCCACAGTATTTTTAATAGGTAATAAATGCTACACAGTGAATACACATTACTATACATACATATCCACCTTCACATAAGTATAAAGCAAAAGACTGAGATGAGGAAAGGCTTCAGCCAAAGCCCCATCATACTCCTCTTACCTGAACTCGCAGAAGAACAAGGAATAACAAGAACATACAGCAGTGTCCATAAGGGTCCGAGGTCTGGATGCATAGCGTCCAATTACAGAAGTAGGCAGGGAAGACTTCCGGAGAAAGCCCAGGCCTCAGCTCACTAGAAAACATTAAAAAAAAAGAGAATCTAAACCACGAGAACCGCTAACATCTTTAAACTGAACACCTTATCCTAGGCTCTTCATGACCCCTACCTTCTCAACCCACACATGCATCTAGACACTAAACTGAGTTTAGAAGCTCTGTTCCTTCTTCCAAAGGGCTAGGATGCTTTTTACTAGGAACTACTCCGAGCTGATGGAGAACACACTGGAGTGGGTCAAGAATGGAAGAAGAAGAGCCATCCGGAAACACTGGGCCCTTGGGGGACAGATGAGGGCACGATGGGTGGCAAACATGAGTGTGAGCTGTGACAATGAAATGCAGGTGGACTCAGGACACAGTCTACAGCAGAACCAAAGAACTCAAGGAGATGAGATGCAGAGACATGGCAAGGATAACTCTCGGGGCTGGTGGGAAAGAGAAAAGCATGCCTGTTGACTCTAAAAATCCAGAGCGTGGGGGTGGGGGGGATGCAAAGTGAAGAAGAGGAGAGTCGGCACTTCCGCATGCCTGGGGAACAGTGAAGATGTCTATTGGACATCCAGCTGCTACCATGAGGTCCAAAGTTGCTCCAATGAGTCTGGAGAGACAGGGAGAAGTCAGAGCTGGAAATGCAGATTTCAGAGGTAAGAAAGCCGGGCATCAGCTCAGGCTTTTCTGTGGAAAGTATGCTTAGAGAACAAGACGTGCCCACCAAGAACCTTTAGAGATGGAACAGAGGATCAATGGGAATGTAAGAAAGACACAATGAAGGGGTGGAATCCAGGAGAAAGCTCTCTCTAGTCGTCAGCTGTCTCAGGCCAGGTGAGAAGCAGAGCAAGTCCAGCTGCTATCCAAAAGGTGCAGCTCAGACGCTGATGATGTTGACAAGATTGGGTCAACAGAGAAAGGCTAACTTAACGGGAACCACAGAGAGCAGCCAACAGTGGGAGAAAGAAGGGTAGAGACTTTCCAATTTTGCCATGCAGCAGGAAAACAGCAAGAAAATGGCAGCAGACAGATGAACGGCTCCGACAGATGCCACCTGAGGGAAAGGTTGTTTCTGGCTTGCTTTGGATTTTTGGTTTTGGTTTTGGTTTTGGTTTTTAGCTAGAGACAGTCCATAAATTCCAGGACTGGCAAGAACATGGAGACAAATCACCATGTATATGATGGGTAGGGGTAGAACCAATGAGTTCTTTTTAGAGACAATTTATATATATTTATATATATATATATAATTTATTCATGCAACAAATATTTTTGAATATTTATTATATAGCAGATACTATCCTAAAGGCTAGACAGTTTCCATTATAAAAATAAAAGTAAATAACACAGACCCAAGTTTAAACCTTACATTCTAATGGAAGTGGTAGACAATGAGCAAGATAAATAAAATGAGTAAGTTTAAGGACGTCTGTGCATCCTCCAGATCTGGCTAAGTGCCCCCAGACATCCTTCTTTGCTCTCACTTTTCCACAGAACATGGTGCATCCTTAAGAGCAAGCATTTTCAATGCTGTAAAACTCTATTTTCCAGAAGCATTCTACAATGTCCCTTAAAATGAAAGGACTACTTTAATATAATGAAATTCCCATATGTGCAATCATAGCTAATAAAAACTGACATCTGAACTTAATATATTCTAGCTACACCATTTGTTCCTTCATTTATTCACTCGTGCATCTAATTTTAAAAATCAGAGCCGGATGGTGGTGGTGCATGCCTTTAATCCCAGCACTCTGGAGACAGAGGCAGGCGGATCTCTGTCAGTTGGAGGCCAGCCTGGTCTACAGAGCAAGATCCAGGACAGGCACCAAGACTACACAGAGAAACCCTGTCTCAAAAAAAAAAAAGTAAAAAATAAAAATCAGCAGAAGTGTATTAACCACCACCACCACCAACAACAACACCCCCACCATGCTAGGTATTATGCTGGGCAAGGTTATCAGTAACCTCTGCAGATCCTGCCCTGTGTTCCTGCTTGGCCAGGGCTGGAAACAGACTCCATGACTATGGAACAAAACAAAACAGAATGACAGGCTATCTTAACAATATGTTAGGAATGTAACTGGGCAGTAATATAAAACAAAACAATATAATAATAATAATAATAATAATAATAATAATAATAATAATAATAATACAAAACTGTGACTCAGAAAGTGCTCATGTCTGTTCTCCTACTCCAGAGTCTGAAAGCTTACAAACTTAAGCTTATCTAGGTCACTGACATCAGGTCAACCTTTCCATTTTTTTTTTTTTTCTTTTCTTGGTGACCCCTTCCAGAAGTGGGAGTAGATATACTAACATACTCGTTGGCAGAAGGGGTCAGTTGTGTGAAAACCCTTTGGATTTATTTGAATTCTCCTAGTTTAAGGCTAAGGACAGACACAGCAGTGGTGGGAAGGCAAAGTAAACATTCCTGTGACCTGGTAACAGGAGACACTTTGTGAGAAAATATGGACATGGAGGATTGCTTCTTCCTTTTGCCAAATCTTTCTCCAGCTATTTATTTATTAAAGGGCAGCGACATGGATTTTACAGTGAACTTTAACCTTCACTTGTGACCTACTTTACAGCTGCTCTTTGAAGGTTCACAGCTCATTATTTTTACCTCAATATGGACCACACAGAGGCCTCCTTGATAAAGCCTCCTGGGCCGCTCTTGGACACTTTCAGACAGGGTTTCACTGAGTACTCGTGGCTAGCCTCTAACTATGTAACCCAGGCTAGCCTCAAACTTGCAACGATCCTGCTGTCTCTAACTCCTTGGTGCTGGGATTACAGACATGATCTCAGCTGATCTTGGAAGTCAGAAAGAACCTATGTCCATCAGGGGCACTCACTAAGTATCTGTGGGCTTGACCTCTGTGCAGGAGAGCTCCGTGTCGGAGGACTGCAAGGGTAATGTTGTCTATGGGTCCGATGACTTGGACTCAGCAGCAATGGAATCTCACAACCTCATCACTACACATCGCTCACAGCACAGAAGGCCAGATGGGTACAAAGGAGACCCATGAGCAACACCGGAAATAAGTCGCTCAATGCTATGTCCATTTCAAAAGTATCTCCTTTGTCAAACATACAATGCCCTTAATGTTAGGGTTACTGCTCTTTGCGTTATTTCTCCTCCTCTTTCTCCCCCGAGCCCACAAACAGATGCACACAATTTTCCCTGCGTTCCCCTGGGTGATGAACATTTTTGCTTGACCAAGTTTATCCCAGCGAAACAAGGCTCCTGCCACATCACACACAGGTGGCCTTACCAGGCATGCCACCTCTCTCACCGCAGACGTGTACCACCACCGTGGGCAGAAAACAGCCCTCCCTGCCTCAACACAGCTCATCCTACGCTCCTCTCGCCCTCTCTGCTGATGTGGAAACAGTGACCAACAGAATGAAGGTCCAGAGAATCAGCACTGCCCCTACACCACACACCTCGTGGACACATCACCTGCCTGAGGTTCTTTGACCTCTAGTGTGGCAAACACAGCATTCAGGAATTTCCCTGTAAAACGTAAAACCAGAATTCAGACTTTAATCACATTAGATGGAACAGAATTCTGATTAAAATCATACTTTTTTTTAACTTTATCATTTATCTCATTTTAACACTTTTCAAAAATACTCAGTGTTAACATAATGCTGTGTTAAACAAAATGTTCCGTGTCTTTTCCTCACATAATTGACAATGAATATGTTAGTTCTATAAAAAGAAAATGGTTAAGAGAAAGCATCTATAAATATTCATTTAAAAAAACCACAACCATTCAGCACAGAATATGTAGGATGTGCAGAAAACACATGAGGAAAAATAAAGATGAACGTCCCAACACCCAGTGAAAACTCACCAGCATTCTGATACATGTCTTCCCAATCCTCCGCACATGTGTGTATATACACATAACTAAGATAGGAATGTGTAATAATTTTAAATCCTTTTAATAATCTCTTATCTACTAATCTTTCTTCTTATTAAAACCTTTCATAACCGTCACATGTAACACTAGCAGATACTCTGTCTTAGCTAGGGTTTCTATTGCTGTGAAGAGACACCATGACCACAGCAACTCTGATAAAGGAAAACATTAAATTCGGAGCTGACTGACAAGTTCAGAAGTTTAGTCCATTGTCCTTATGGTGTGAAGCATGGCAGTGTGCAGGCAGACATGGTGCTGGAGAAGGAGCCAAGAGTTCTACATCTGGATTTGGCAGGCAGCAAGAAGAGAGAGAGAGACCGGGCCTGGCTTGAGCTTCTGAACCTCAAAGCCCACCTCCAGTGACACACTTCCTCCAACAAGGTCATAGATCCCAATCCTTTCAAATAATGTCACTCGATGAGCCTTTAGGGGCCATTTTCATTCAAACCACCACATACTCTATTGGGTGGATATACATAAATATATGTATATAATATATGGATATAATCTAATTAAATTATCCTTTTGGGATACTTAAGTTACTTTTTAATATAAATATATATAATATGTATATATACATGCATTATATATACATATATGTGTGTATATATATCCCAAGTATGAATGTGTATGAATGAGTATCATTCATAAATCTTTAGATACTCTTTTACTTATGTCTTGAGTCTATATTCTTGGAAGTAGAATTCCTACATGAAGAATATGAACATTTTAAAGATTTTTACACACATATCATCAAGGCACTCTCTAAAAAGAAGCCACAGTGTACAGCACCATTTCCAACAACCACCATCAGCACAGGAAGGTGACTCTCCCCTCCATTTAAGGTGCAGATCCATGCACTGTGTAAGCCAAATACAGATATAAAGTATAACTGCTCAATTCATTCAAGTACATGACACTCCATCTATATTAACCACACTCTGTTTACCTTTGACCTTCCAATGACAAAAAAGATCATGGGTACAAAAAAATCTGCTTTTTGCCCTAAATCCATCATAAAGGAGGGTAAAGAGACACTGTAGTTACTATGTGGTTTTAATTTATAATGTGTATTTCTCTAAAACTAAATTTA